TAGCATTTATGGAAGTTATTCCATTTGAAATTGAGTCTTCGAAACTGCGAAAGACATTGAACTTGAGTTGTCAAGTTATGTGTTTTCAATCTTACGTAAAATTAACGTTTTTTTCTCATGCTCTTTAAAATACCATACCGTTGAATTGTATTAAAAAAAAACTCGCACTTTGGATGGAGACAGAAAACACACACATACACAATGATTTCACCGCTAAATCGATAAATATTTAGCACTAAATCACAATGCTGATGTGTTCAAACATCATTAACCTAAATTAAATACGTCTTGTTCAATAATTCAAACCCCATGTTAACTCGAAGCCACAAATCACCCCGAATGTAGAGCATCAGTACAATGACCAGGCTACCGAAACATTTATTTTTACCGCATGCATATCGCTTTGTGACATTTCTCGACCACAAATTATCCAGTTTCACAACACACATTCTCATATGCATTCGATGGAATTCCACAAATTTTCCTCCATACCTGTTCAAAGGCACGTGTACTTGCTAAATAGAAAACATAGATTCAGTGACTGTTGTTGTTCTATACCCTTATATCGTTTAGATCCTACATGTTAGCGCTGTAACAAATTTAATCGAATCGAGTGGAACAAAGGATCGAATGACTTGACGAAAAATCATTTTGTATTCAACAATTGCTGTTGTACACAATTCAATTTCTTTAAATTTTCAACAAGTATTTCATTTTCCAAATATTTGTTCTAATGCCAAAGCATGTTTTTCATTATTTCTTTTCGTTTGGAACCATTTTTTCAAAGTGAGAGCACAATGTTTGACATCCATATATCTATAGAATAGTTTGTGCGCTTAATATTGTCGCTAACGCGGCGACACAAATTCAGATGTCATTTCCGAATGAATCACAAATGCGTAGTTCGATTCGCTGATCTCCCAATTACTCACCGAATCTGTAACTTTTGCTCTCGACTTTAACTGACTGTAGCCTTGATTCACACGAGCGATTTTTTTTTTTTATTTCAAATTGAAATCTTTATATCAACATCAAATGATAGCTTTGACTCATACATTTTTATGAATATTGAAATTCAGTGACAAATAAAATCATACGGCAAGTATGAAAAGTATTCATGTTCCACACAATGGAAATATTCTCGGTATGGCTGAAGGCTAGTAGTAATTTTGAGTAAATTATTATGTTTTAAACGATCAATTGCTTGATTTTGAATAACAAAGTATTGTGTTGTTACTGGCTTGTGTCATTTCGCAGGTCGTGTACACACAGTAGCCATACGATCGAATCTCATCAAAACAAAGAGAGACATGTAATGCAAATAGCTTTCTTTCTCTATTTATATCTCTCAGTTTTTACTTGAACACAATGAAAATTATGTTCCAGCTTGAAAATTAATCAAGCGTGTGTAAGAAAAGAGCGAGAAATGGGGGAAAGAGTAAGGAGAAGCAGTTTCGAGATGCTCACAACACAAAGAATCGTTAACTGCATAAACAAATGGAGGACTGAAAATGTGCAAATGTGAAGTAACAATTGTGCGATGTTGGTTGAAGTGTTTGGCCTGAGACTTGATAAAGTACTGCTGAACGATCGCGTCTTTGCAAAATAAATATTTACAGACATTCAGAAAATACGCTTCTTTATTTAGTTGGCTGCTTTGTTTTCATTTTAACCGTTATCGAATGTGCGAATGAAGCAAAAAAAAAAAAAAAACGATGAAAAACAGAGATGAAACGAGGAAAACACTTCAGTACAATGCAATTATACCTTGAACTTTTCTTGACCACTAAATTTGGTTCGGTTCGATTCGCTTTGATTGCATTGCATTTGCGCATACTGTCACACACAAGGATACACAAATTCATCATTATAAATGTCGGGCGACAAAATGATACCATTAAAAAGTTCTTCAGAAACCATTTCTCGGACAATTTTAATTCATTGTATTTTGAATATGAATGTGAAATCAAAGTTCGAAGTTTAAAAATGAATATTCGTTAGAAAATGTTGTCGGTGTTTTGGTGTTGTTTTGCACATTGCATAGGCCGACCGAAAGGATAAATGAGTTAATTTTATACTCGCTGCATGACAACATGGGGGGTAAGGAAAATATGGATTGAGCATTTTGTTCGCCGCCCCATCATAGTGACGTGACCATGGTCGATGACACATGAACTGATGACGATTAATCACTTTCTGCTCCACCTTGTGCACCAAATCGGTATACAACAGCATTTGCATAGCTTTTTGTCATACAGTTATCAGCACTTAGAACTTATGTTGTGCCATGTTCGCCGCGTGCGATCTCCACATATATATGTACAACAAATCGATAAGAATTTACGTGTGTTTGAAAGTGTGACGACGTTTTTTTTTTTTTTCTATTTTCTATTACTGTCCAGTCAAACCAACACCATGATTCTTACTCGATTGCACTCACCTCACATACACATTTAAACACCGAATGTCGTGGCGTATTTATGTTTTGATACGTTTGTGGTGTTACATCTTAATAACTATTCTATTTTGAGTTCGATTTTTGAATATCACTCTAACATTTACATAGTCTACAGTTATTAAAATTAACTCAGCAAAAATGGAATAGATGAACTGAAAAGAATACTATTTCTGGCTAGTATTAAAGCATTTTTTTTTTCTTTGACATGTACTATATATCCTTTCAGATTCAACAAATACTGTTTATGTGAACTAGAAATAGAAAAAAAGCAGAATTAAAATATCAACGTTGCGTGTTTGGCTTCGGTTTGACTATTTGTATCTAAATTTTTACATTGTTAAACGTATTCTAGCTCACGATTGGTACACAAGCTTTCTATGTAACACACACATAGACGTACGGCATATTTTTTTAAGCAAAAATCAAATCGAAATCAGTCCAAATAATTTGTATTGGTGACGTGATTGCTTCAATGTCGGGAGATTCAATTTCGTTTGTACATGTGAGCTTGCTCGAGTGCTTTCTTTACGCGTACACATCCCTTTTTTGTATATAGCAAAATATAATAATGATTGTGGACATTGGTGAATAGCCGTAGAGCCCAACAATTTGTACTGGTAACCATGTGATCTAATTGTGTCGGAGCTCGAAGTTCACGTATGAAAATTTATTTTTATGTGTTGTGTTGTTTGTTCGTTGGAAAAAAAAGTGAGTGTGTCTGCTGCAAAGGTGCTTCAACTCCTAAGCACATATCAAAACGATGACTAGCATACATCGTGCAGTGCCCGGCACTCGAATGAACGGTCGACGTTTGTCAGAACGATATATTCTCTCTCTCTTTCTCTCTTATTCTCATTCTTTCATTGCAGCTGAAACGATGACTCACAATTTCATCGATCAATATGTGTTGAATGAGACACAATCGCGTTATTGTCATAAAAATTGAAAATTATCAAGTCATTACTTCGACATACTCTTGTCTTTACTCCATAAAAAGTCGAATTATTATTAGGCATTCGTTGAATGTTGTTGTTCTTTCTATTCCAAACCGGAAATATATATTTTAAGTCTAATAATGACCATTTAATTCAATCAGCTATTATATCAAAATACCCATGAAATGTGCTGGTATCACTATGTGACCAAGTGATCGAAGTTCAATACACTATACGTTCTACTACTACTTATGATTTACCATATTTATTAAAATCTACCCGCTAAATTAACGCGTGATTTGTTTGGTTCATTTTGATTACAAAATTAATCCAAAAAATGTATTTCGATAGCTTCGTTTCATGAATGCTTGTTGCGTTAGATGGTGGAATAAAAGGGTCAACTTTAAAACTGCCAAAGAATATGTGACCAAGTCTTTGACCCTTTTCGAAAGACATTTATGTAAGTTATACATATATATATTGAGTCAGTCAATAAACAGCTAATTGTGATGCAGCGTTTGTATTGCTATCGAAAAGTTGTGGTTTGAACCACAAACATTTACCCACGGCATTTAAAAAGCATATTAAACGTGAATAAGAGCATGAATCACATCAGAGCATAGGTAAGGCTGTTTTAGATTTGACAGTATTTAAAAAGTTTGTCGACCGCATACAAAATACTCGACGCTGCTGCGGTTCGTTCAGATTACTCATCTTCCGTTGTATGAATAAACAACGTAAACAACGGACTTAATCATACTCAGGAAATTTCTTATGAATGAAAAAAGAACAACAACAGACGAAACGATCGAACGAACGAACGAGAAAGAGAGAGAGAGAGAGAGAGAGAGAGAGAGAGAGAGAGAGAGAGAGA